TGTTGAACGGGCTGCACGATGCTTTGTACGACGTTTATAGCAAATTAGCTACGGCTAAGGAGCTATGGAATGCTTTGGACCACAAATATAAAAGCGAGGATGCCGGCGCAAAGAAATTTGTTGTTGGTCGATTCCTTGATTTTAAAATGGTGGATTCGAAGACGGTCTTGAGTCAAGTTGAGGAGATGCAAATGATCTTCAACGAAATTCAAGATGAAGGAATGACAGTTAGTGAGTCGTTCCAAGTGGCGTCAATTATTCATTTATTGCCGCCGGCTTGGAAGGATTTCAAGAACTACTTTAAGCATAAGCGAAAGGAAATGAACTTGGAGCAATTGATCCTCCGTCTGCGGATTGAAGAGGATAATCGGAAGAACGATGGGAAACTCCCAATTGTTCACGGCGCCAAGGCTAACGTGGTGGAGCATGCAAAAAGCTCCAAAAATAAAAATAATGGGAAGAGCAAGCTCGGTCCCAAGGGAGGCGTTTCCAAGACAAAGTTCAACGTAAAATGCTTCAATTGCAACAAGAACGGACACAAGTCCTCGGATTGCAAGGCACCAAGGAAGAAGAAAGACTCCCAAGTCAACTTGGTGCAAGGTGGGAAAAAGGATGAAGACATCATTCTTGCGGCCATGGTGACCGAGGTCAACCTCGTTGGATCCAATTCCAAGGAGTGATTTGTGGACACCGGTGCTACCCGGCATATTTGCTCAAACCGGGGGTTATTCACTACTTTTGAGCCATCTAATGGTGAGAAGGTGTGGATAGGAAACTCGGCCCATTCCGCGGTGGAAGGCGTGGGCAAGGTGGTCCTGAAGATGAGTTCGGGCAAGGAGCTGACTCTTAACCAAGTGCTGTTCGTTCCGGAGATACGCAAAAACCTGATTTCCGGTTCGTTGTTGAACAAGCATGGCTTTCGCATGGTTTTTGAGTCAGACAAATTAGTTTTGTCCAAGTCGGGAATGTATGTGGGCAAAGGGTATGCATGTGACGGGCTGTTTAAGCTCAATGTAACGACTATTATTATTAATAATAATAAAATCCCTTCTGCTTACTTGCTTGAGTCTTCCAATGTGTGGCATGGTAGACTAGGACATGTTAATTTTAATTCTATACGTAGATTAATTAACATGGAACACATTCCTAAATTCACAATTGATGTGAAGCACAAATGTGATATTTGTGTTAAGGCAAAACTAACGAAAACGTCTTTCAAATCGGTTGAAAGAAAAACGGAACCACTAGAATTAATTCATAGTTACGTTTGTGATTTTAAATCAATACAAACACGTGGCGGTAATAAATATTTTATTACTTTTATCGATGATAGCACTCGCTATAGAATGGAATCGACATCGGAGCAGGACCGGACCCACCACTAGGTGTAAGTATGCAAATTCATTGCAGCGACACTGTAGCATCTGCGTTTTCCAAATTTGGAAAACTAGTAAAAGTCACTTCTCCAAATCATTAAGGAAAAGAGAGACATGTCTCATTTTTTCCGTTTTGGAAAACGATTTGGTAAACGCGTTTTTCTTTTTTCCTTTCTCCAGTTTTCCAGGAATTTCTTTGGTAAACACGTTTCCTGTTTTCTGTCTTCTAGTTTTCCAGTTTTCTGGAAAACTGGAAAATATCTCTGTTAGTAAACAGGCCCTTAGTTTTTCATCCATTTTAGGACCTGATGGATAGTCTACCCGGGGGTATCTTATCCGAGGGGTTATTGTGGGAATAACTTAGAGAGAAGTCAGAGCAAATGGGAGGAGAGAGAGTCGATTTTATTAAATGAACTCAGCGTGTGGAGTTGAGGTGTAGATGATGATTTACAAGGAGAAATGGGCTGCTATTTATAGCAGCAATAAATGCGATGAGAGTACACGTGTCAGTAATCCAACGGCCGAAGGGTCACATCAGTCGGGTGGCACCGGCAGTGGTACGTTCACCGCATTGAATGCAGTTGGTGGATGTGACGTGGCATTAAATGCGGTGGTTGGCTGTCTCCAAAAGGAATCTTCGATGATTGAGCATGTTTGGCCGAAGGCTTCCTGTGTAGCCGAGGGCTCCACGTAGCCAAGGATCCCTGTGTAGGCGAAGACCCCTTGTGTAGCCGGGGGCTCCACGCGGTGAGGACCCCTGTGTGGCCGAAGGCCCTGTGTGACCGGAGGCATGGTTTAGCCGGGGGCTTCTCTGATGCCGAGGGCTCGATAATGTCGAAGGCTCATGTTTTTCGCCGTTTTCTCCCAGTAGCCTCTTATGCCAGAGAAGGCTACCCTGTGAGGTTTGGAGCCTTCGGTCAAGGAGGCCGAAGGCACCCCAGTGCGTATTCTGGGCTACGTTGAGGCTTGGGCCGCTGCATTTTGGGCATGAGTTGTTCCCTGGGCCCAATGAACTTGTGCAGGAGAAGTAGGAGTCTATGGGCCGGGGGCTCCTGGGCCATATACTCCATCAGGAGTCCCTCACTCCTTTTTCCGAAAGGTCCTTGAGGGAAAAGGAGTAGATGTGTTGATTCTTCTGGAGGCTTCATCATTTCGCTGGGTGCCTTTGCTGGAGAACTTGTCTTCTGCTGATCGTCGACGGCTTCCCTCAGTCCCTCACATGTCGAGGGTTTTCTGCGGGAAGGTATTCATAACCTTCGTATGTTTGCCGGGGGCTCCCCTCAGTCCCTCACATGTCGAGGGCTTTCTGAGGGCAGTATAACACCTGTATGACTGCAGAAGGCTTTCCTCAGTCCCTCACATGTCGAGGGTTTTCTGGGGAAAGCATAGATGTATCGCCTGCATGTGTTGTGATGAGGGCCGCTTCATTTCCGCAAGTGACTTGTGGAAACTTTTGATATTCTGTGATTCCCGAGGGGTGTATCCCAGTCCCCCACTCCTTTAGGCCGAAGGCGAGTTCGGGCTGAAGGAGTTATGATGTGTTGATGCGAACCCGAGGGGTGATAATACTGACAAGTCGGGGGCTTACGCTGCCGCAAGCTCGAAGGCGTTTGATGAAATTTGCTGGCAGAAGGGTGTGGTGAGTGATAGCCGGAGGCTACCATTCGAAGGCACCCCAGTTTTGCCGAAATATAGTCGTTGTAATATAGCCGTTGGAAGAGGGGTTGACGTGGCGTGTCCTCGTTGGTCGAAGGTGGGCGGGTGCCACCCATTGGCTGAGCCGGCGGCCCGTAATGATGGCCTTTTTAAATCGAGGCCCAGATTTCGAGGCTGGGAGCCTATAAATACCCCAAGCCCGAATTCATATCCCTTGTGCGATTTTTGTGATAGCGAAGCTCTGCCCTTTTGTTTTCTAGAGAGAGAAAGCCCTGTTCGATCAAACCCCAAGTTTCGAGGTCAGTTCTTCACCGTTCTTCGATTCTTCTAGCATACTTTGCTCTATTGTTCTTAGATTAAGTGTTAGAGCCTTCCTAGGAAACCCCTAATATCCTTCTTTCCTTCCATACTTGCGTTCTCTCGATTCCGAAGGATGTCATCAGCAAGCGATTCCCAGAACCATTCGAGGGAGCCCTCAGCTGCAGTAGGGAGCTTTTCTGATTCGGAGTCATCGAGCGAGCAGTCCTCGACCAATAATGACCTTGCCGTGGCTGAGGAGGTACAGAGTAACCTTCGGGTTGAGCTGGAGGCTGAAGAATTTGAACAAGTTGCTGCTGATGAAGAAATGGCCCTCGCACTCCAAGTAGCTGAGGAAGAAGAAGAGAGGGAACGACAGGAGGTTACGGTCGCCGTCTTGCCCCTTCGTGGATCCGGGGAGGCGAGTACCTCCCGGCCTCTAGATCCAGAACCCCTCAGCGTCGCCGTGGGAAAGAAAAGGAAGAAGACGAAAGCTCCCCAGAAGAGCAAGCAAACCGCCGTTGACTGCGGGAAGCCCGTGGGAATACCGGAGGGGCATTCGTGGCTGAATACTGCTGCCCTCGCTCTGAAGTCGAGGGCTGATCGGGCCGAATGCTACGTTACCCAGCTGCATGTGGGCCCCTCGGCCACCGTGATCGAACCGGGGCCCAACGATCTCCTCTCCCAAGCTCCCGAAGGATGCTTCGCCGTCCATGTGCTATCAGTTGCCATGGGCCTTCGGTTCCCGCTGCATCCCTTCCTCCTCGAGTATTTGAGGTATGTGGGTTTAGCCCCCTGCCAGCTAACTCCAAACAGCCACTCCTACATCACCGGCTTCCTTCAGCTTTGCCGGTCCCGAGGTGTAACGGCGACCCTCGATCTCTTTTTCCAGAGCTTCAACCTTTGCCGAGGGGGCCATACCAATTCCGAGGGGTTTGCAAACCTGCAGCAGCTTGCCCCCTGGAGGCTTTTTGACGATGTACCTTCGTCCCACAAAGGATGGAAGGACCGCTTCTGCTATGTCAAGATGGCAGAAAATCCGTTCCCGGGGGAGTTGCGCAATCACTTCAAGAGGCACCCGAAGGTGGGAAATGCCGCACTTCAGAAGGACGGGAAGAAGATTGCCGCTCTGCCATCGGGGGCCACAAAGCATGTGACCGTTAAGGATTCCACTCTCCCCGAAGACTTGCTGGCCCTAGGCTTCCGTCGGTACCGTTTTTTGGGCGAGAAGGATGAACAATACCCAGTCCTTGAGAGAGCCTTCGGTGGCAATGGAGGTAGTTACCGGAGGGTCCGCTTTATTGTACTTAGGATATTTGCATGTTCTTATTTCTCTTCCCCCGTCGTTTGAACCCTTTGGTCTGACCTCGTTGTTTGTTTTGCAGGTGTTAGCATGGACGTCTCCAGCTTTGCTGCTCTGAAGAAGAAGCTGGCCAAGGAGCTAAAAAAGAAGAAGGAGACGGGGGTTCAGAAACCTGTCGATGAATTCTTCAAGAACGATGGGGAGTCTCAGGCCCCGGAGGGGGAGGGACCCTCCAAAGCAGGTGATACCGGTGCTGGTGCCGGGGGCTCCAAGGGGGAGGAGCTCAAGAGAAAGAATTCCGGGAAGGGTGTCGCTCCCCCGGAGAATAAGAAGCAGAAGAATGGGGCCTCCGGGAAGAAGGATGCTCCCATAGTGATAGTCGAGGAGCAGCCTTCCTCGAATCCTCCTGCGACTACCCCTCCTCGATCTCCTCCATCCCCCATAGACGAGGGAATCCGCCCGGCGGAGATCATCCAGTTCCCTGTCAAGTCGGGGACCTCAGTTATGCATGGCACCCTTCATCCTGTCGGCTTCATGAGGGGGGTCATGGCGCCGAAGGATAGGTCAGTGCTGGCCCGCCTCGGGGATGACATCCTCGATTATAAAGTCGCGAGCTACAGCACTATGGTGAGTTGTCTTCCCTTTTTATCTCCTTCAATTCTTTCTTTTTGACGATAGCCCCCGGTGAACCATTCTGATGCCATGTTTTCGTTTATGTGCGTTTATGTGCAGGCTGCCTTGGCTGCTTCTGAGCAGGCCCGAAGGGTTGAGCAGCTGAGGATTGCCAAGTGCCAGGCGGACGAGGCCCTGAAGAAAGCTGATGAGGAGAAGGTCACCCTTAGGCAGAGGGTTGCTGATGTGGAGGCGAGCCTTCGGCTGGAGAAGGAGGCCACGGAGCAAAGGCTCAAAGATGCTGAGGCCAGGGGGAAAGCCGCAGCCGAGGAAATTGCCGCAGTTGCCGCCAAGACCGCCGCCGAGGCCGCCGATATCGCCAAGGCCGAAGCGGTAGCTAAAGCTGAGAAGAAGGCCGTCGAGTCTTTTCTTGCCGAGGGCTGGATGGCAGCTGATTATGAGGGTTGGGTGGCCTCGGTGATGGAGAAGAGGGTGGATGCTTGGACCCAAGGCCCCGGGGCTATGTGGCTGGCCCGGAAAGGCAAGGATTACTACGATGGCGGGGAGTTCTTCACTCAACGCTTAGTGTACCGGAGGCTGGCCCGGCATTTGAAGATAGAGCCAAAGGATTTCAACCCCGCGGCGTATGGTCTCCCCCTCCTTCAGCCAGACGTTAGAGTGCCACTTCCCCCGGGCGAAGAGAGACCGGATCTCGAAGACTCGGAGCTGCTGGCAGAAGCCGAGGATGCCGAGGAGGAGGTTGGGGATGGCGCTACCTCCGAGCCGAAAGTTGATGCGGCCCAAGGAACTCAGACTTAGGAATTTTTTGATGTATCATTTTGTAATAGCTTGTAGCTTCCGGCTTCTGCCATGTAACGTAAACCAAACATCTTGTTGTTACTTTGAATTTTCTGCTAATGAATGAATGATCGCCTTCGGGCCTTTTCTGAGTGGATGCCTCCTGTCTTTGAAATTTTTTTTTATGGATGCATGCCTTTCTTTACTTGGGCGAATGTATGTTTTCCTCTCTTTTGTCTGGTTTCCCGAAGGTCACGAGTTTGTGGACTTAGAGAAATTTTCTGAGTGTCGCTCCTTGCTAGCCCTCGGCTGTAGTGTAGTATCACGAGCCCTCAGTTGTATATTTGGGGTTGCCGGGGGCCTGTCGTTGTGGACTTAGAAACTTTTCTAAGCAAAACTTTTGTCAAAACCCTTCGGATGTAGCGCGTAACCTCAGAAAATAATCTAAGTAAAACTCCATTGGCAGCCTTCGATAAAGAATCCTTGTAGTTGCTTCCGGGGTGAAGTTTTAGGACCGAGGGCTAAAATGAATTAAACTCAGGAAATCCTCCAAGTGAAATTGCATCTCATGCCTCCGGAAATGCTGAGCCTTCGTTTAGTAGTGTAGCTTTAGGTCCTTGCCAAGTGGCTTAGGGGGGGCATCGGCTGTAAGCCTGTTGGTCTGTAGATGGCATCCCGGTTTCCCCCCGAAGGGTCCCCGATCGTGGACTTAGCCAAATTTCCACAAAGCTCCAATAGGTGCTGCAGTGAACCTCCGAGCGTGAGGATTGTCTGAGCCCTCGTTGTGTACAGTCTAGCCGAGGGGACCCAAGCTCGTGGGTTTGGTGAAATCCAGAGTGTAAATATTGTGAGCATCCTTCGGCTTGATGAGTGTCCTCCAACGGGTGCTAATATGTGGACTTAGAAATTTTCTCATTGTTAAATGAGTCGGGTGACATTCTGCCTTTGGTATGAAGCCTCTGGTTTGTGTAGATATAGGTTTAGCTTGCCCTAGAACTTTGTGGAGCCTTCGGCATGTCACATAGTTGACTTTGATCCAGCCGAATTTCGGCCTTAGCCAAATTTAGGTGAAGTTTTGCTTAGTGAGCCTTCTTCTTGGGCCTCCGGTGGAAATTTTGTACTCCAAGGTTCCATGTATTGAAGCCTTCGGCTATGTAGCCAGATGACTTGTTGTGGCGAGATTTTCTTGTGCCTTTGTAGGAGCCTTCGGGAATGTATATCCGAAGTGTTGAGCCTCCGGGGAGAATAGTATCCGGGGAGTTCCTTCCCCCCTACACATCTTTTTTTTTTTTTTTAGATGGTGTAGGAGAGGCATCTAGAAACTTGGTTTCTAGGAAGGGCTTGGCCCATATGGGAGGCAACGGAACAAACCGTTGGCTCCCCCTTCGGGAATGACCTTCCGATATCCCGAAGGGTTTGAGGGTCGTTTCCTCGGCCCGAGACATCGTCTGTTGCCTGCTTCCCCTTGGGAGATAGCACGGAAAGCGCCTCGGTTTTGAAAGTCGTCCCCTCAGCCCGAGACATGGTCTGTTGCCTGCTTCCCCTTGGGGGATAGCGCGGGGAGCGTTTCGTTTGTGGAAGTCGAATCCTGGGCCCGGGACATGGTCCGTTGCCTGCCTCCCCTTGGGGGATGGCGCGGAAAGCGTTCCTGGGAAGGGTTTTATTTGCGTGTGGAACACAAATAGCCGGGGGCACTTGGTACCAGCCGGAGCCGAGGAGTGTTGCACCCCCCGGTTTTTTTTTTTTTGGAAGGATTAAGTATGTATAAGTATGCATAATGTATGCATGATTGCGTCCTCGTGGGGTACGGCTTAGTGAGAAAACACTAGGTGTTTTCAAAGAGTGATGGGGGGTGACCCATACACTTGGTACTTGGTACCTAAACTGCTTTTCCCTCTCATGAGAGGAAGAGGCCCTGGGCCTATTTTAATGAAGAGATGAGGGCTTGGCCACTCATTTATAGGAGAGAAGGGGGCCTTGGGCCGCTTGTACAGTATGTAGGTGATGAAGGCTTGGCCTTTTGATTATTCTTCAAAAACAGATGGGGCCTTGGGCCATTGATATTTACACTTGCTGAGTATGAGGGCTTGGCCGCTCACGTTTTATTGATAGAATTTGACAAGGTGGTGCACATTCCAATGTCTAGGGACCTCCGTCCCATTGGGGCGTTTAAGCTTGTATGTCCCTGGTTTGATGATGGCTGAGATGATGTAGGGGCCTTCAAACTTGGGAGCCATTTTTCCTCCTTCGGTGGGTAGGCTGGCCTCCCTTCGTCGGAGGACGTAGTCACCCACCTGAAATTCCCGGGAGCGGACCTTGGCGTCGATGTAGCCTTTGACTTGTCTCCTATAGTTTTCGGCCCTGAGAAAAGCTTGCTCTCGGCGTTCTGAGATGAGATGAAGGTCGAGGGCCATGTTGGCATCGTTGACTTCGGGTTCATATTGTTCAACCCTTCGGGTGGGCAGAGTTACTTCTGTTGGAGCCTTAGCCTCAAAGCCATAGCATAGGGAGAAGGGTGTTTCCCCTGTCGCACGCCGAGGGGTGGTACGGTAGGCCCATAGAATGTTGTGTAGCTCTTCTACCCAGCCTCCCCCTTCGGCTTCCAGCTTCTTCTTCAACCCTTCAAGTAGGGTTCGGTTGGCGTTCTCTACTTGCCCGTTGCCTTGGGGGTAGGCAACGGATGAAAAGGTGTGTTTGATGCCCCATGCCTGCAGGAGGGCACAGAAGGGGGCTGCCTCGAATTGAGTGCCGTTGTCGGATATGATTTGTTGGGGGACGCCAAACCTTGTGAGAATATTTTTGAGAACAAAGTGGCGACACCGGGCTTCGGTGATGCTAGCGAGGGGCTCGGCCTCTACCCATTTGGTGAAGTAGTCAATGGCCACAATGATATACCTGTTGTTGGAGGTACCCCTCGGCAGGGGGCCTACTAAGTCAATCCCCCATCTGGAGAAGGGTATAGCGGTGCTGATGGGAGCATAGTTGACCGCTGGTCTGCCGGGGGCCTTCTGAAAGTGTTGGCAAGCGGTGCACCTTCGGGCTAGATCAGCACAATCTCTAGCCATCGTGGGCCAGAAGTAGCCCTGAACTATGAGCCTTCGGGACATGGAGAAGGGTCCCTGGTGGGCTGAGCAAGTGCCACTGTGCACTTCCTCCATAGCGACTTCGGCTTCATCTTGATGAAGGCACCGAAGGAGGGTGCCGTTGTAAGATCTTTTGTAAAGCCTCCCATTCTCGAGGGTGTAGCTGGGAGCCCTCAGCTTTGCTAACTTGGCGCGGGCTTCGTCCTGGGGCAGTTGCCCTGTGGTGATGAAGGCGATGATGTCGGAGACCCAATCCTCCGGCCTCAGGTTAATGTTCATGACGGGGCTCGCGTGGATGCTTGAGAGGCTGAGTTCCTCAATTCTTGCAATTTTGGAGAGGTGCTCTGGGGATTCATCCGAAAGCTTGGATAGAATGTCGGCCTCGGAGTTTTGAGCCCTCGGTATTTGGGTAAGAGAATGTGCCTCAAACACCTTGAGCAACTCTTTAGCCGCTTCTTTGTATTGTTTCATCCTCCCTTCTTTGGCTTCGTACTCCCCGGAAATTTGACCCACGACGAGTTTGGAGTCACACTTGACGTGGATCATCTTAGCCTTCAGATTCGCTGCCAGCCGAAGGCCGCAGAGGAGGGCCTCGTATTCGGCCTCGTTGTTGGAGACTTTGAAGGAGAAGCGAATGGCGTAATATGCGCGGAAGCCTTCGGGTGTAATGAGGACTACCCCTCCTCCGCATGCTTTGGTGGCTGAGGAGCCATCGGTATAGAGGGTCCACCACTCATCAAGAGGCGCCGAAGGCTCTTCGCCCACCGCTGACCTCGCGGTGCACTCCGTCACGAAGTCTGCCAGGGCTTGGCCCTTGATGGCAGGCCTCGGCCGGATGTCTATGTTGTATTGACTGAGGAAGATGGCCCACTTCACCATCCGGGAGGAGCTCGTGGGGCTCCTCATGAGGGCGCCGAGGGGTTGATGAGTGAGCACTTGGACCGGATGAGCTTGAAAGTAGTGGCCAAGCTTCTTGACGGTCCAAACGATGGCTAGCACCGTCTTCTCGACGGGAGAATACCTGAGTTCGGCCTCCCGGAGGGTTTTGCTGACGTAGAAGATGGCATGTTGGATGCCGTCTTCCTCTCGGATTAGTACTGAGCTGATAGCCGCAGGGCTAACACCGAGATATAAGTATAAAGTCTCCCCCACCTTTGGTTTGGAGAGCACTGGGGGAGAAGAGAGGTACTTCTTGAGTTCGTCGAAGGCCTCTTGACATTCAGATGTCCATTGGAAACCCGCTGTCTTTCTCATGATTTGGAAGAAGGGGAGGGCCCTCTCGGCTGACTTAGAGAGGAAACGGTTGAGGGCTGCCAGGCGACCCGTCAACCGTTGAACTTCTTTGACGTTGCGTGGAGGCTCCATGTTGATGATGGCCTGAATTTTCTCGGGGTTGGCCTCAATGCCCCTTCGGCTGACCATGTAGCCCAAGAATTTTCCTCCTTGCACGCCGAAGGTGCATTTCTTTGGATTTAGCCGGAGGTTGAATTTTTGCATGATGGCGAAGATCTCCCGGAGATCCTCAGCGTGGGTGCTGGCCTTCTTGCTCTTAACAATCATATCGTCAACATAGGCCTCCATGGTGCGCCCCAAGACAGCTTGAAAAACCCTGGCCACCATTCTGGTGTAGGTGGCGCCGGAATTCTTAAGGCCGAAGGCCATCACAAGATAGCAGAAGATGCCTTCGGGCGTCATGAAGGCTGTCTTCTCAGCGTCCTCCCCATGCATATATATTTGATGATACCCGCGGAATGCGTCGAGGAAGGACATGATTTCGCATCCCGCGGTCTCATCCACCAGCTGATCAATGTTCGGCAGG